TCCCCGAATGGTAACTTATTCGATAACTTGTGAGCCAAGCAGATGCCCACGTCTTGATGACAGGGAAGATCCAGCTCGTGGGCAGCAGCTGCAGCAGCATCTGAATCGCTTCCCACGGCACCCGATGTAGAAAGGGTTCATACATGGCAAAGTAGCGTGCCCGCCTGGTCTCGAAAGTCGAGCTCAACGGGAACGGCGTAACGAACTGCTCGAAAAGTGCCGAGGTGGCTGCTCTCTGAAATTTGGGCTTCCGCCCCGAGACCAAGAGCTCCGAAGCGATCGCAGACGTACAACAGCGCAGGATGTCTGAAGAGTAGCCAGCATGTGCAGAGCCCTGACGCAGCCAGGAGTAGGTCTGCAGGATGGGTGGGAGCCGCCAGTGCCGCCCAGCGTCACACATCCAATCCTCTCGCGTACGACAGGTCGCGAGGGAAGCGTCATCAAATCGTCCCTGCATAATATCAGCATTCCATGAAGAAGTGGTGTTAGTAATGTTAGAGCGTATGTGAGTATGCTCGCTGAACGTAATGGTAGCAGCTCGGGACAGCGCGGCAGCACATGTATGTCGCACAAGCGGGATCTTGGGGCCTCCCCACGAAGAGAGCTGGGCCCAGCCAGTAGCAGGTAGAGCACCCATAGGAGCACGGAATACCTGGGTAAGCACTGGGAGCTCGAAAGCGGCCATTCTGGGAGGCAGAGGGAAGAACTGGGCCAGGTAGGACAACACAGGAAGGGCTCTGGATCTGTAGAGCACGCCGTTGATTCCCAAGGGGGCGGAGCCTGAACCGAGGGGCCTAGCACGCAACTTCCATTTCGTCCGAGCAGCGTCCCACTGCATCTGGATCGTGACATCGGGCCCCAAGAGAACGCTCAGGTACATCAGGTGGGCCACAACCTCGAACGCTTGCCATTCGGGAACAAGCCGGCCAAGGAGAGCACGTGTCCTTTCCAGAAGGGCAAGGGTGAGCGTCGCGTGCAGCGGGGTGACTTTGCATTTACTGACCTTGAGGCAGAGCCTAGTTAGGAGCCGCGTAGTCGTCATCACACGGTAGAGAACCTGGAGCCCGCGAGCCTCGAACAAGACAGCCCCAATATCGTCCGCGCAGGCCCTCGCCAGGCCAAGTCCAGAGCCCCCAAGCGAATATTCCAAGTCAGTCAGGAACGGGGCCGTGCTCAAAGCGTACAGGGTCCCAGACAGACCGCATCCCTGAATGATCCCCGACCTCAGCCAATGCACAGAGTGGAGCAGGCCACCGTGGGCCACAACCCCTTCGATCGCAGAGCACAACCAGGCCAGGAAGTGCATCACTGGGGATGGCAGACGGAGGTGAGCAAGGAACAGCATCATGAACTCCTGGGAGAGGCTCGGGAAAGCCTGGCCGAAATCGAACGAGACCAGCAGCGGCATCTTGGACGAGGCCAGCGGGTGGGCCCCAGCGATGCGACTGAAGCCATCGAGCTCTAAGATGTTGTACCCGAAGTTTCTGCCCTGTACGAAGCCGCGCTGCGACTGAGGGACGAGGGAGTCGACCACACCTTTAAGCGATCGGTTCACAGCAGACGTCCGAATTTTCAGGTCGGTGTTGCGGAGCCCGAGGACCCTGATCTTATCGGCAGAGCGTATGCAGCCTCCAGAGGCCAGGTCTTCGTGTTCCGATCCCTCAGGAAGGTACGCTTGCAGTGTAACACTGGCTGCGTCGAAGAGAGACTGCCCACGCAAGATCCAATCCATCATAAGACATAATACTTCCAGGCAACAGTCGGCAGCTGCCCAAGCAGCGCACGGCAGTCCGTCAACCCCAGGAGCCGAGTGGCGAGCACGTGCTACAATATTCCGAATCGTCGCTTTCGAGGATGGCGGGACGTCAGGGAGCACGGGTGAGGGACATTGTTGTTCGATGTATTTCTGAGCAGCTTCGAGATCGACTTCCGAGCGCGAGAAGACAGGGCGCCAATATCTCGTGAGTGCATCAACCCTTTCCTCTGGAGCTTCAGCTAACCGAGGGCCGTCCCGAACAGCACGAAGAACCAACCTCCGTGAGAATGGGGCCCAGATTGCAGCTTGGCGTTCCAACAGCTGCCGACGACGAAAAGAAGTGGGCGGGCGGGACGAACGAGAGCCTGCAGCAGCGTCAGCAGCGGCGCGAATCTCTTTTTCCAGGAGACGCATATGCACTCCATCCGTCCACATGTGGAACGATTCAGGATGCCGAAGGACAACTTGTGAGCCTCCGACTTCGAGCAGGTCAGCTGCGGTAGCCGAGGTCGCCACCAGCCGACGGGCGAGCGGGAGATCTTGTCGCCATACTGCTCGTGCGCATCCACGGGCCACCAGCAATGCAGTTTCGTCGCCAAAGGGATGGTAAACAAACATCCAGTCACGGACTTCACGGGCAGCTTCTTTCAACATGCCCTGGAAGTGTTCCTGGTAGACGGCTGCAGAGCACCACTTCTCAGCGCCAGCGCCATCTTTGAACATGCCCTCAATGCGTTGACGAAAAAGAGGGCTCTCGAAGACATGGCGAGGAACTGGCTGCTCAGATCTGGGACGAGCTTGGCGTTGACGAAGCACCGTGAGCAAAGCAGCGTGGTCCGATATCAATGAGCGAGATAATACTCCGGGGTCTCCTATGGTAGAGGATTCCGCACTCATCTGGCACATCATCCATCCAGCCACTGAGCAGAAGAACCGATCGAGGCAGCTGACCGAGTTGGTGTCCTTGGTGTAGTGCGTCGGTGACCCCGAAGAGATCTCAAGAAATAATCCCAATGTCCTCAGCCACCGAGCAGCCATAGCACGATGGTTTCGAGGATCAGTGGCTCGAGCAGGTTCAGGCCGTTGAAGAGGCAACGCCTCATCAGGGCCGAAGTTGAGGTCGCCCTGCACGATCACCAGGAAGTGTAGAGGATCAGCAGCTGCTCGCACCCGCGCAGCGTCGATCTCAGCACATACCTCGTCAATCTGCCTCGTGTTGAGACCATGGTTATGTATATTGAAGTGCACCAGCTGAAACCCCTGCCCGACAACGTCGACTCGAAGGACCCTACCTTGCACGACGGCCGTAGCATTGCTGGTAACATCGAGCTCCGACGCGAGCTTCGGTAAGACAGTGGCAACCCCTCCCGCAGCCGAGCCCCCATCATCGGCTGTGCAAAACGAGGCGCGAAACACGGCATCACGATGAAGGCGACATAAATAGTCTTCAAGTTGCCGACGATCTTGATGAACTTCCTGTAGAGCCAGGATGGACCCAGGGAGGTGAAACTTCTTCAAATATGACGACTTGAGTCTGCTCTTCGCTCCTCGATACTGCAACAGAGCACGAGCATTCCAAGTAATGAATCGCATCGATTCATTCCCATTCCCGCGAGAAGGAGTGTGAAAGAGCCGCATGAAGCCATCAAAGACACCACGTTGTAGGAGGCGGAGGTGCCGTAGTCTCATCCACCACTGCTTGGATGTCAGCACGCGTGAGCTTGATGTCCAGGATGCCCTCTTGGTTGAACTGCACAGTATATGGAGCGTCTTCAGGGTTCGCTTGGATCTTAAGCACGCTGGTCCAACCGCTCTTGAGGATGCCTCGTTCACGATCGACAGACCACCGTCCACCGAACTTGTCTGCGCACGCACCACGTAACCGACGAAGAGCCATCTCCGTCTTGACCTGTCGAGGGGATTTGTCGGGCCCCAAATGCAGGCGAGCGTCGGCAGCGGCACCGGTGGCCTCGACGTTGAACACTCCCCATTGATCATTGCGGCGGAGGTTGCTGAGCACCTTCGAGACCTTGCGGGAGGCGAGGCCAGTGGCGCCGTTGAACTTGATGAGAAACCTGCGTGCGGGAGTCGGCGAGGGGCAAGAGAGGGTGTACTGGTCTGCCTCGAATCCGAGCTCCGAGAGGAACGGGGCCAGCACATCACGAACCTGCGGTAATCCAACCATCTTAGTACACATCGCGACCACCACAGCGGGGTCCGTCTGGCGGTCAAAGCTGGCGGGCGGAGAAGGGGCAGCGTCCTGTCGCTTGGCCACATGAAGACCTTCACGTAGTTCGGCAATCTCGGCACGTAATTGTTGCAACTGCTCTGTGTGTGTCCAGCTCGATATTGAGAGTAGCGACTTTTCCAGTGACATCATCAATCTGTCGCTGCATCTTTCTAGAGATGTCGTCAAGCTGCGGTCGGAAGATGCCCATCGCCTTCTGGTCCAGCTCTGACGGCTGGTCTTCCAATTGCTTCTGCAACACAGCCAGGGTCTGAAGGATGGCGGCATTGCTGGATTTGACAGTGTCTCCCACTGTGGAGGCGACAAGCTCTTCGAGCCCCGTGCGAAGCTCGCTGAACTGGGAGGCGACACCATCGGCAATAACGGCTTTGATATACTCGTCGGGGTAGTCGTGGGAGACCTGCGCAGCGGATGCTCGAACAGGGTCAGGGCCTGCGGAGACTCCACCAGAATGCACAGGAGCACCGCCAGCATGTACATCAGGAGAATGAGCCTGGATCTCCGAGCGCCCGAAGACGAGCGCGGCACCTGCAGCGGCAGCACGGGAGGCGAGACGGGCGACACCTTTGCCACTGCCTGAGGACCCCTTGCCCTCCTCCGTGCGGGGATACTTGGACTCAGGCGAGCCAAGGACACGTTGGCTTTCAGCGCGTTCATCGTCAGGGAAGGTGGGCATGTCTTCGATCTCCTGGGCACGGCTGGCCAGGGCAGCGGCGTCGGGAAGTCCCATTGCACCAGGGACGTTCGCTCGCACAGGAACGGGAAACGCCTCCGTTTACCCGTGGGCGCGAGCGTCGGAGAGGAGGGAACGCTCTGCCAGACCGCAAAGGGTCTTGTCTGCCGCGGACTAGCGGTATCCACTTGTTCCGCTGGGGAACAAAGCATCTTGAGCCAAAATGGTTACGGAGGAGGAGGAAGAGGAGGAAGAGGAGGAGGACCCCCTCCCCCTCCTACTTCTGGTGGTGGCGGTGGGACCCCCCCCGCTGCGAGCCGGTCCTCGGCCGCCGCCGCCGGCGCTGCGGCCGCGGCCAGGGCGGCCTGCAGCTCGAGCGACCGCGAGCGCTCGGCCCGCAGGGCGTCCTCCAGCGCCGCGGCCCGGGCATCCTCCGCGCGAGCCTGTGGGAGAAGGGCGGGGTGCAGATGGAGGAGGCGAGAAGAGGGAGGGAGGGAGGGAGGGGGGAGCGAGGTGTGAGGAGGACACGCGGGGAGAGGCAGGGGGAGGGAGGAGGAGTGAGGAGTGGGAGGGATGAGGACAAGGAGGAGGAGTGAGGAGTCAGGAGGACAGGACGGCGAGGAGGAGTGAGGAGGATGAGGAACAAGAGGGGGACAAAGAGAAATGATGAGGACAGAGGAGGATGACGACTCGCTGCAGCCGCCTGTCCTTAATCAAAACGAGGGCAAACTACGATCGAACCTGGAGCGAACATCTCATGTGTTCTTAGAGCTGGCGGATCCGTAACATGTGCGCGGTGCCGTGGCTGCTACACAACGCTCAAACAAACACTCTTCGGCAAAGCGTTTGTGCCGCAGGTTCACGTAGCGATGACGTCGGCGTTGGCTTCTGACGATACGTGGATCGCGGCTTTCCGATAGCTCTGATCATTCGAGAGCGATCGATTCCAGGCCAGTGCCCGCATTCGATCATGAACATCCGCACTGCGGGCGCCGTCGTATCAACGTGGCACAACCCGTATCTCACAGGGGTGCCTGAATTCATTCCCCCCTCCTCATCCCCCCTTATTCTCTTACCTTCATTCCTCTCCTGACGTCCTGATCCTCCGAAACATTCCTCCCCTGTATTTGTTCTCTCCCTCTTCATCCTCCTGATCCTCCACTTCCTCGAGCCCTCGGAACTGAAGGTAATCGTGTATGCCAAAACCAAAAACGCCGTCCTCCCCCTATTCCTCCTACTCCTTATCATCAGCAGCAGCACTGCCATCATCGCAAGCACCATCACCATGATCAAGAACATCGCTATCCTCATCCTCCCGCTTCTCGTTCTTCGCTTGATCTCTCTACCGCGAGGCCACAATCCAGTGAGACACTCGCAACCCTTTTTCCTCAGGATAGCCCGCGAGGACACAGGAGACCCCAGCGATGCCCAGACGAGGCTCAGTAGAGGCCCAGGAGGCCCCGTGATCCAAAAGACCTACATCGACACCCGGCAGGCCTCACCCCGCTCTTCCGGAAAGCCCCGGGATACCTTTTCCTCCCAAATTGCTCCTCCCCCTCCTCCTCCTCCTCCTCTTCCTCCTCCACCTCTTCCTCCTGCTCCTCCCCCTCCTCCTCCTCCTCCTCCTCCTCCTCCACCCCTACTCCTTCGTGGTGTTTTGTCGTAAATCTTATATATTCGAGTCGGCGCGTTAATGCTCCGCTGCCGTCGCCGCCCCTCCCCCTCCTCCCTCCTTCTCCCTCCTGATCCTCCTCCTCCTCCTCCTCCTCCTCCTCCTCCTCCTCTTCATCACCCCTCCTTCCGCCCCCAAAGCCCCGCAGCGCCCAAGAGATTCCAGAACACACATCCTTGTGACAAGCTCATCACCGCCATTCTCTGTATGACATGCTCATCATCATCGCGAGTCTCTCCTATATCCTCCTGCCTCATCCTCCGAACTCTTCCTCCTCACCGCCCTCGTCTCCCCCCCTGCGCCCTCCTCCTCCAAGAGCCGCCTCCTCCTCCTCCTCCTCCTTCTCCTCCTCATCCTCCTCTTCCTCCTCCCCAGATCCACGTTCTTCCCCATCAGTTCACTACCTGTTCCTCATTGGCCCCCTTTTTATCCTCCCTGCTACGTCGCCCATAATCCGTTTATCCTGAGCTAGAAGACGGTCAGCAGTACAAGCATCTAACTGCAGCAGCACGTTCAGAGGGCGGGGGACAGAACGCTAACCCCCTCCCCACGTTGAGACTGAAGGGCAGACAAGACTGGCCACCTCCCCCATATTGCTTCGGGGAGACGTAAGACTGGGGTACGGGGGACTCGGGTTGGCCTGACGGGGGCCATCATAAAAATGACGAAACCCAATCTGAAATTTGACGCGGGCTCCCGCTGCAGACATCCCACAGAAACGGGACCGTCAAAATCCAGGACGCGCTCGTCAGAAGAAAGTCGGCAAACCCAAGTTCCAGCTTACTCGAATCTCACGTGTCCCCGATTCTTCCCCTTCTCGGGCGTTGCTTCATGGGGCTGCCTAGTGGGGGGCGAAGAAGCGTGCACCTCTCGTGCCCTCTCTGGGCCCAGAGAGAGCCCCATTGAGGACCCCAGAAGCTGCACGAGAGGTGTACCTTTCTTGCTCCCCCCACGCATCGCCCCCAACACTACCCATTACGCAACGCCCGACTGCCTCCTCCTTCTCCTCCACTCTCTCTCTCTCTCTCTTTCTAACGACGGCGGTGGCAACGACTTCGACGAATACGACGACGACGACGCCGACGCCGACGCCGACGACGACGACGACAGCGACGCTGACTGCGGCCTCGACGCGACAGCCGACGGCGATGGCGACCACGCCGGCAACAACCACTTTCGTGTCGGACCCACGAGCGGCGAACGCATCCAAGGAAACAAACAATGCCATAAACATGCGCGGATTTCTCGGATCGGCGTTGGACCCCCCCCTCCGTGGCGCGCGGACCTCCGAGTTTTCATGTTTATGCCGATGTTCGTTCCCCGAATTTCCATGTCTAAACCCTCGGGTCTTCACTTCGGGGCGCGGTCCCGCGAATACGCGGTCGCACGGACACGCTCCGCGCGGGGCATCCGCGAGAGAGCGCCCCACATCCAGGCGCTCGATACCCCGGGGCCCTGGCTCGAGAGGCCGCAGATACGGATGTCTCTCTCGCCCACGGCGGACGAAGGGAGGGAAAAGGGTAGTAAAGGGAGGGTTAGCAGGTATCGGGTCAGCTCGCGCATCCGATCTGTCCAGCGCCTCCCAGCTCCAAAGGCGCCGATACATCTAGGCAAGGCCCCGCGACTGAGCCGAAACTAGCCGCGTGCAGCAGATTCCGTACCCATCTGTCGGAAGGAGCGAGTAGACGTATAAGGTGGGAGAGCGTTGAAAATATATTGGGTTTCCAGCCGCCCCCTGACGAGGAGGGAAGAAGGAAAACAGCTCGAAATCCAAAGTAGGAGGGTACCAAAAGTAGGTCGGGATCTGGGTATCGAAAAAACACACTTCACTCGACCGATGGGTAACATGTGTTTGCTTAATCCTCTGGCACGTAAAGGTCGTCACACGCCCGCCCCCCCATCCTGGGTAACGGGAACGATCGTACATATGGGGGGGGGCCTGGACCTCCACTCCACATGCTGGTGCTCGTTGGCAATCTATGCCGATCGCAGCGCACGCCCGCCCCGACATGCCCCACCTCGCCCCAGCATGACCATTATCCGGGGCCCCAGCCCCCCCCACCACGGGTAACGACCGTGACTGGACACAGTAAGTAGCAACCCTCCCTTTCCCCAGTAGAGAGGCTCCAAAAGTATGTTGGGATCTCGGGTCCAAAAATACCTACTTCCAACGATCGATGGATTACCCTCCCTTTTCCTAACTAGCGAGGCCTCCTAAATAGGCTCCAAGTCGGTGACGTCGGAGATGGGTCTACGCCGTCGGCGTGGAGAACATCGGGCTCCACATCTCGCCGCATCGGCGATGTATCGGCGATGTGGCGCGATCCTCCGACCCCATCTACTCCGACCCCATCTGGGAGGCCTACCAAGCACAGCATCCCCCCCCCCCCCCAGCCAGGCCTCGGAAAAACTAGCGAGCACTCCTGCCACACCCATCGGTCAGCGCCTCCCCCCTCCCCCCACTTCAAAGTTGGCGGTGGACCTGGTGAGCTGCACTGCGACCGCAGTCTCCTCCGCGCGTGCCAGCTTGAATCTGGGAAAAGAGGGGAGTGTCCATTAACTCCCCAATCAGTGCTTGCACTGAAGGGGTCCTAGCGAAAATTGCGGCGAGAGTCCCGCCGATTTTGGTGGCCGGCTGGCTTCCGGGGCTCCTGGCTCCGGATACCCAGGGCTCCTGGTTGTTGGTTCCGGGCCGATTTCGGGGGGGTCCGGGTTCCCCGGTTCCCGGGCGATCTTCTTATCGATCAAACCATCCACTGATTGGGGGGTTCCTCTGGTGTACACGTCGGTCGGAAGAAGTAGGTAAAAACATGAAGTAGGAAGGTGGATTAAGTTGATTGGGTCCAGGCCCCCCAGAGAATAACAAAACACGGCAAAAGCGTGTCGATTCTTGAAGTAGGAAGGCGCTTGAAGTAGATCTGGGATATCCAAAAATACCTACTTTCACGACCGGCGTGTATTTGTCTCCCTCGACCGTCCCTCGCCCGACCCGACGCGATGAAGGCGACCCGCGCGGGGGGGCGCCTCGGGCGCGGCGGCCTGCGCCGACTGCAGGGCCTGGAGCTGCCGCCGCGCCTCCTCGTGCGCCTGCGCCCTCTCCTGCCGCCGCGGGGGAGGGGGGGGGGGGTAAAGGGGCACGCACTGCCACTCCCCGTCGTTGTCCTGCTCCTGCTCCTGCTCCTCCCTTCGTCCTCCTCCTCCTCCTCCTCCGCCTCCGCCTCCACCTCCGCCTCCGCCTGCTCATGCTCCTGCTCCTGCTCCTGCTCCTGCTCCTGCTCCTCCTCCTCCTCCTCCTCCTCCTCCTCCTCCTCCTCCTCCTCCTCCTCCTCCTCATGGTTTGCGTTGCGCCTTCTCTGGCTGGAAGGACCGCAGCGTCAACCATCCTTCTCGTTCTGTTCACTCCTCCTCCTCCTCCTCCTCCTCCTCCTCCTCCTCCTCCACTTCCTCCTCCTCCTGCGCTACAACCTGCGGCGCCTCCTCCTCCTCCTCCTCCTTCTCTTCCTCCTCCTCCTCCTCCTCCTCCTCCTCCTCCGTAACCAATTTGGCTCACGATGCCACGTTCCCCTGAGACAAAGTGGATACCGCTAGTCCGCGGCAGGCAAGGCCTGCGGTGGCCTGACAGTTCTTTCCTCTGCATTCGCTGTACACTGCTTCTGCGCGCCCGTCCTACGGCGTGGCGCAACCAGGCATCCTGGCGCAACTGTGGCGGTGGTACAAAACGTTCCTGGGTCTGGCAGCCTGGGATCAAGACGAAACCCCCAAAGAAGGACAATTCCTACGAGGTTTGCTCTGTCTGCAAGCACTGGGAGTTCATGCGACATGGCCATCGTGGATGGAGCATGTGCGGTGATGCCTACATCACGGACGATGCTGCTGCTGTCCCTAATGGTGATCGGGTTCATCCTGTTGCTGGTGCTCCTGGTGCTGCTGCGGTGCCTATGTCACCTCACCTCTTGCAGGAGTTGGAACGTTGGTCCGTTCATTATCCTGCCCTCGCGGGCGTTGCACGTGATGCTGCCGCGCTCCATTTTCCCGAGGTTCGTGGTTACACCGAGGGCGAGTTGGATCGCATGGCTGCTCTGGAGCAGACGGAGTTGGCCAAGCAGGTTGAGACCGCCACCGAGCAGGAGCGCATCGCCTGCCAGGAGGTGAGGTGCAAGCGGCGGCTGGACCGCAACAGAGCGAAGGCCACGATGGAGGACCTGCAGAAGAACCACCTCGAGGCGGAGCAGCGCCTCGAGGACGCAGGCGAAGCGTGCGGAGGTGGATTGAGCAGGGACCGACCGACCCGACATCTTTATAGGCCTACCACGACATGTTCTCAGAACCCAGAACTGTTCCAAAGAGAACAGAAAACAACGTTCTCAGAACGCGAGCCCGATGTGTGGAAACGAGACGGTCCCAGCCAGACATGTTCTAAGAACATCCCGTTGAAACCACAAAAGGCCTGTAGGCTTATGTTGTTCCCATCCTACTTAAGGACCTCATCCCAGAAAAATGTTCGAGCACCGGGAAAAGTACCGAACGAGTCTCGAAAGAGTGTCGAAACAGTGTCTCCCAGGGCCCGACACGTGAAAACCCTCGAGTTTTGGGGTGCGCTCGAAATTATTCCTGGTTGGAACATCATAACTGCAGACGGGCCAGGACGCCTCGCCGCTGCCTGCGAGGTGGAGGCGCAGCGCCGCCGGCGTGGCCCCGCGCGGCCGCTGCCGCCGCGGACCCGGGCCGCGCCCCGGCCGCAGAGCGGGGTCTGCGCCGCCGGCGCCCCCCGGCCCCGCCGCGGGGGCCGGTGGCCAGGCGGCCACGGATCAAGGGGGCCCAGGGACACACAAACAAATATACACACACACACACACACACACACACACACGCACGCAAATCCCAGGATTCCCCATGTGTTCCCGTATTTTCTGGGCTTTCGTCCTCCCCCCCACCTTCCCATGTTTTCCGGCATCTTCCTGGGGGTCGAGGATTAATCGTGTCTGTGCGTTTTTTCCCTCCTGAAGGGATGAAAAATGACCCCCCCCAATGTTCCTTGGATGCGTGGGCGTCTCGTGGGCCACGTGCACGTGGAGGCTCACCGGCACGAGCTCGAGGAGCCCGCCCTGGACCTGCGCGTCCGTTGCTCGGGCATCCCCATGGCCCAGTGGCGGCGATGCCGTCGCCGTCTGCGGCGGATGCGAGGCGGCCGGCAGGATCTCTTCTCCGGCATGGGCAATGAGATTGGCGACGACGAGCAGTAACCACAAAAGCGTGGCCGGCTTCGAGAGCTCAAGAAGCGAGCAGGTGAAGTTGACTTTTTTGCACAGGCAGCCATGAAGCTCCCCGACTTACTCCAGGTGTGCATGCCGGCCAAGTCTGTCGAGCGTGCACGCGTGGCCGAGACGGCCACTTGGCGACATCCACCGCACCTTATGGCGCAGCAAGTGGAGCGGCTGGCCCGGCTGGCGTTCTTAATGCCTCTGTGCCGCCTGCAAAGCAGCAACGTATCTGGTATGCCTCCTCCGTCCCGTGTGGCGGCGCAGCATGTTCTTTTTCAGTTTGTCAATCTAGACCCAGTGGTCTCAGCTGTCTCAGGGTTCTCTCGCAGCTAAGGTTTCTGGGGTCGATGGCAATTTTCGTGGCTGGGCATCCTCAGAGAAGGCTCGATTGTTTTCAGGTTAAGAAGGCATGTCGACAGATGAAGTGGCCCTCCTACTTCCAGGATGCGCTGCCCTCACCCGGTGGAGGCGCACCTGGTGGAGTCGCGGCTGCTGTTCAACCACGTCTGTCCTCTCGGACGTTTTTGATTCAAGCCAGAGGCGCTGCGGAAGTCGATTCTGGAGAGTGCTGGTTCTTTCTTGAATTGCGTATGAAAGCTTGCACTGTGGCAATATAGGTGTGATGTGCCTTATCCCTTCTACAGGAGCTTCTGGGGGACACTCATCTCGGTTTCGTGGAGTCGCTGAGCTCGTTCGGGGTATGTCGATCCGTTGGTTTCCGATGGGTATTTCAACATGTCGGTTGACTCCCTGGAGAACGCTGGAATGCTAGAGCTGACGTCTGCTGGGGCGATTGTTCCGAACGGTGCGCTGTGATCGTTGGCGCCACGTTCGTGGTCCTATTACTCCGTTGTGCGCTACCGTTTTAGATTTCGGCTGGCAGCCTCGTC